CCCAAAAATCCATAAAAAATATTCCCAAAAAATTCCCCAAAAATCCAAAAAAAAATCCCAAAAAATCCCCAAAAATCCCAAAAAAATTCCCAAAAAATCCCAAAAAAATCCCAAAAAATTCCCAAAAAATCCCAAAAATCCATAAAAAATATTCCCAAAAATTCCCCCAAAAATCCCAAAAAATCCCCAAAAATTCCCAAAAAATTACCAAAAAATCCCAAAAAATCCCCCCAAAAATTCCAAAAAAATAAAAAAAAAATTCCCAAAAAATTCTCAAAAAATCCAAAAAAATTCCCAAAAAATTCTCAAAAAATCCTCTAAAAAATCCCAGAAAATCCAAAAAAAATCCCAAAAAAATCCCCAAAAAATTCCTCCAAAATTCCCAAAAAATCTCAAAAAAATCCCCAGAAATCCAAAAAAAATCCCCCAAAATTCCCGGAATTCCCGGAATTCCCGGAATTCCCGGATTTCCCTGGCAGGAGTTCGAGAACCCCGAGGGGGACGAAGATTCCGGGGATTTTTCTCCTCATCCCGAGGATTCCTCCTCATCCTCGCCCTCCCCTCCCCCCGAGGTGTTCGTGGTGCCCCTGGAGCCGCCCCCGGGTACGGAAAAACCGGAAAAAACGGGAAAAACGGGAAAAATGGGGAAAAAACGGGAAAAACGGGGGGAAACGGGGAAAAATGGGGAAAAAAATGGGAATTTGGGAGGGAAAATGGGGAGAAAATGGGAAAAGAATGGGAAAAAATGGGAAAAAACGGGGGGAAAATGGGAAAATCGGAAATTCGGGAGGGAAAATGGGGGAAAAATGGGAAAAAATGGGGAAAAATGGGAAAAAATGGGAGAAAATGGGGAAAAAATGGGAAAAAATGGGGAAAAAATGGGGAAAATTGGGAAAAAATGGGGAAAACGGGAAAAATGGGGAAAATTGGGAAAAAATGGGGAAAAATGGGGAAAATGGGGAAAATGGGGAAAAAATGGGGAAAAATGGGAAAAATGGGGAAAATGGGAAAAAATGGGAATTTTGGGGGGAAAATGGGAATTTGGGAGGGAAAATTGGGGAAAATGGGAAAAAATGGGAAAAATTTGGAAAAAATGGGAAAAAAATGGGAATTTTGGAGGGAAAAATGGGAAAAATGGGAAAAAATGGGAAAAATTTGGAAAAAATGGGAAAAAAATGGGAATTTTGGAGGGAAAAATGGGAATTTGGGATGGGAAAATGGGAGAAATGGGAGAAAATGGGAATTTGGGAGGGAAAAATGGGAAAAAATGGGGGAAAATGGGCAAAAATGGGGAAAAATGGGAATTTAGGGGGAAAAAATGGGAAAAAAATGGGAAAATTGGGGGGAAATGGGAAAAAAATGGGAATTTGGGTTGGGAAAATGGGAATTTGGGAGGGAGAAAATGGGAATTTAGGGGGGAAAATCAGGATTTTGGGGTGGAAAAATTACAGGATTTTGGGGATTTGGGAATTCTGGTTGGAAAATGGGGAATTCTGGGTGGAAAATGGGGAATTTTGGGTCAAAAATGGGGAATTTTGGGTGGAAAATGGGGAATTTTGGGTCAAAAATGGGGAATTTTGGGTGGAAAATGGGAATTTTGGGTCGAAATTGGGGAATTTTGGGTGGAAAATGGGGAATTTTGGGTGGAAAATGGGGAATTTTGGGTGGAAAACCGGGAATTTTGGGTGGAAAATGGGGAATTTTGGGTGGAAAATGGGGAATTTTGGGTGGAAAATGGGGAATTTTGGGTGGAAAATGGGGAATTTTGGGTGGAAAATGGGGAATTTTGGGTGGAAAATGGGGAATTTTGGGTGGAAAATGGGGAATTTTGGGTGGGAAATGGGGAATTTTGGGTGGAAAATGGGAATTTTGGGATTTTGCCAGCGCCGCCGGGGCTGCGGCAGCAGCTGAGCTTCCTGCAGGAAATCGGCACCGGATGGTTCGGAAAGGTCGGGAATCTTCCGGAATGTTCCGGAACATTCGGGAATTTTCAGGATTTGGGGGGATTTTTTGGGGATTTTTTGGAATTTGGGGGGATTTTTTGGGAATTTTCAGGGAAATTTGGGAATTTTGGGAGGAAATTGGGAATTTTGGGGGGGATTTTGGATTTTTTGGGGATTTTCCAGGGGATTTTTGGGTGGAATTTTTAACCGGGATTTTTGGGGGATTTGGGGATTTTTTTGGGATTTTTTGGGGGATTTTGGGGGGAATTTTTAATCGGATTTTTTGGGGATTTTTGGGGATTTTTTTGGGATTTTCCAGGTGATTTTGGGGGGAATTTTTAACAAGAATTTTTGGGGGATTTTTGGGGTATTTTGGGGATTTTCCAGGGGATTTTGGGGGGAATTTTTAATAGGAATTTTTGAGGGATTTTGGGGATTTTTTTTGGGATTTTCCAGGTGATTTTTGGGGGG